AGCCTTTGTTGGCATTGTTGGCACTTTAGATACCATCAAGAATCTAAGGCATCTGGATAATCTTTAGCATCGCTGTACTAAGGATATAAGACTCTTGCAATTTTCTCCCTCATAATATATTTCATTTTTCCTCATTGTATACCTCGTAGATTCAAAATAGTTAGCAAACAATGGCTTCTTATTTGAAGTATCATCTTGTGGATACTATAGATAAAACAAAGTATTTCCTTGTCCAATGGGATCTACTAGTTGCAAGAAAAGTTGTATCATAAGATGTAGCTCAATTTCATTGATTATAATAGAAATGCATAGCTTAAGGTTTAGAAAAAAAAAATGCAACAATATTTCTAAAAGGTGAAAAATTATATCAAGTAATTTTAATGCCAATGATATGTAAATAGTGTCTTAGCAATGTAGATAAAGAAAAAACCATCATAGAAGTGAGTTGGTCCTAGAAGTGGTTTTTTTTTTTTTAATACCTAAGTTGTCTTATATCATCTTTGGCTGAACTTAGTTGGAATTTATGTATTTTAATTTTTCTTCTTACAATAGAGAAAAAACTCTATTTGTGTCAAAAAAAAAAAAAAAAAAAAAAAAAAAAAAAACTATTGGTGGTGCTAAAGAGAGTAAATACATTACCTTTGGTTTCTTCAATTAATATTTTTCAACACATAATCATAGCATGTAGTTTTCAATCTTTTTTTAGAAAAAATAATATATTTTATTATTGTATATTAAAAAAATTAGTGTGCTTATATAATCAAAATTTCAATTATGATTTAGAATAACTTAAAGTTAAAAATTACTTAAATATTAAATCAATGATAATTATTTGTATTATATATATACTAAATATATAATATAATATAATATTAATTTATCACAAATGATTTTCAAATCTTAGAATATATTTGAAAAGGTTTAATACAACCAAAGATATGGCAAGCAACAAGAATATCTTAGAAGTATTAATATACATAAAAAACAACAATAACTATTTTAATGTTATTATATCTATTACAAAATATTATAAGAAGAATTTCTAGAAATTTTTTCTTTTGATTTTAGAAGTTTATTATCCAAAAATTTAATCTATAAAATTTTAGTAAAAATACTCTCAATTTAAGAATAAAAACTAGAATTTAATCTTCTTGTTATAATACCAATATAAAATTCAAGTTAGATTTATACAAAAATTAGGATTTTAAAGATGTGAATTTAATTTAGGTTTTTTAGCAAACTTCATAATAGATAATGGCAAAAATAATCCAAATACTTTAAAATTGTAATAAGTTTTAGAAGAAACTAAAATTTCTTACTTTGAATAATTAGTTCAATAATATGTAATTAATTCTATAGTCTATTTTTATAGACTAAAATTTATTTTATATTAAATATAAATATATAAAATTTTTATAATAAAAATTAAATTAAAAATTTCCAATCATTAGAAATCATATAAATTAAAAATTAAGATCCAAAGAACAAAAATTATAAGTGTAAATATACAAAGATACTTTTGTAAGCAATTGGTAAAAATAAATAAATAGATTTATATTACTAAATACATGATTCAAAGAACCAAGTCAAGAACTAACTTGAGCTTAAGTCCTTCTTGATACAAAGACTTTAAGCAATGACAATTAAGTTGTCTAAGTTGTTATACAACAATATATAAGTTTCTATTATCACTCAAAGACTACTAATAATTTAATTTTCTTATTTATTATACATATTTAAAATATTTATGATGAATTATAATATACAACTAATTCTCTTCAATGCATAGAAGTAAAAAAAAAATAAAAAATAAAAAAAATAAAAAATACAACACATTACTATAAGATATCTATAGAACTAAAGTTATAAAAATTTAAAATATATATATATATATATATATATATATATATATATATATATATCCTAAAATTAAATAAATAAATTTAAATACAAGAAGCTTTTATAAAATAAAATTATAAAAAAATTAAATACCATCAAAGAGAGGCCTTCTACTTTATAATTAAAATAAAAAATAATCATAAAAAATAATTAAATATAAAAACAAAATCTCTAACTTATATCACTTATATAAAAGATAACAAAGAATATGATAGTCACAACCACGAATCTTATTCATGAGTCATTATTCGTATTCTTGAGTAATTCAATGTCAAACATTCTAAAGAAAAAAGGTAAGAGAATTTATGTGAAAAATACCTAGAAAATGGAGATAATCAATGCCTCAAAAAATCCAAAGTCTCTTTCAATGCACTTTCTTGCAAGGTTAAATGGAATAAGAAAAAATATTATTTGTGATACTTGAAAGAAAAAAGATGGAATTAAACTATGTATTTTGTCCAATTTTCAACAAATTGCAAATAAAATACAACGAATTTTTCAGTCCAAATAAGAAGCTCTTGAGAATCAACTTTATGTGTAGAATGAAGAAATTTATCAATTAAAGATAGATTTTATATCTTCCCTTATAATTTCTTAAGTAATAAAATTTGCAATTAAATTGAGTTTTTATGATTTTATAAGAAGCTAGAGATAGTTTTTAAGATTTAGAAATTAGAGAGGACTTTGCTTGATGCTTCTTTATAGTAAATATACTAAATTTGATAAAGATAGTTTATATTTAGTAGATAATTTTAACAATCTATACATTATTAAATAATACAAAGTTAAGAATACTTACAATATAGACAAAATTGGATTGTATTTTAGAATTGTTCCTAAGTACTTTATCTTATTCTATCCAAAAGATATATCAATTACTTGTGGTAAAAAGAAATCCAAAGAAAAGTTGATTATAGCCAATTTTACTCTTGTAACTAATCATCACAAGCTTCTATGTATAATAATTAGAAAGTAGCCACACCAACATGCCTTATAAGACATCTTTAGCAAAAAAAATTGATAATTTAAAGAGATAATATAAAATAAAATAAAATAAAAACTATGATGGATAAAATTATATTTAATTTTTGATTTATTATTGTCTTTGCTAATAAAGTTTTTTAAAAAAACTACATGCAAAAAAATTCTCTTACTATTGAATAATACTCTTAGGTACAATAAAGCATTTAATAAAAATGGAATTAAAGTGATTTACTTTCTTCCAAATATGACATTGTGAAAGCAATTAATTGATATAGAAATCATTGTAGCACTAAAAAAATGCTACAAGTACAATTTGATAAAAGACTTGTTGGATTTTTATAACCTATTTCATAAAATAAAATAAAAACACTTAAATTTTAATAAGTTGAAAATAAGGCTAGATAGTGATGAAATAATAAAAAGATAACTTGCTAATTTATCAAATGCTACAAAATATATTATAAGAGCCTAGAATAAAATACCACCAAAATCTATTTTAAATTGCTATAAAAAAGCATACATCATCAAACATTGAGAAGTACCTAATATCACTTTGTTAAAACAACTAATAAATTATTAAGCTCATGTAATGGTTGACAACATATTAAATTTATTCAAAATAAAAATTGATAATTAGAAATAAAAAAATAAACAAGTAAGTTGTAATAGATGATAAAACCAGAGGAGGTGGCAAGATGATCTATTTAATGTTATTAAAGAAGAATTAAAAAATTCTGATACAATCGAAGAAAATGAGACAATTAAACTAAATGAGACCAACTCTTTTAGAAAGAACATAGTTTAGTAATACAAGCAACAATACAAATTTGTGGATAATAAAAAACTACTAAAAAATATTATTAAATTAAAACTACGATTGATAAGTTAATTGAAGCTATTAGAGAAGCTGTAGTGGATAACTTTGTTTCAAGCATAAAAGACTTTTTAAGATGCTTGATAAGATTGTTCAAAGGCATGCAAAGAAATAAAAAACATAGACAATGAATATTGTTTGTTATGTTTAGAACAAAATAAAAAAATATAAATTTTAACTACATTTCTAGTTATTTATTTTGTGTACATAATCTAGATGCATACTAAGCATAGTATGTACTTAAGGCAAAGATTACTACAATAAGAAAAAAAATAAATAAAAATAAGAAATAAGAAATATCTAAAAAATCTAGATAAAAGTGTATAATAATCTTATATTGATCATTATCATTTTATTTTACTTAGAAAAAATATTCTACATTCTAATATAGAAATTAATCCATAAAAAATAAGCTAAGATATATATAAGAACAAGTACTTAACTAAAAAGATTATTGTATTTTTTTTCTCTCATTGTCATGATTACTACAACCAATGTAATTAATATAAATAAGAAATCAATGTTATTATTACTATTATTATTATGAATTTTTTAATTTTTTTATAAAAAACTAAATTTTTGTTAAGAAAAAAAAAATTTGTATTAGAAAAAAAAAATAACTTAAACACCAATTTAAGAAAGAATAAAACATAGTCTTATAGAAGTTGATTAAAAATAATTAATAGTCTTACTCATGAAGATAAATGGAATGCAATAGAAGCAAACAAGAAGAAGCAACTATAAAAAATTCATATAACTAGAGATAACAACTTCATAAACTTAAGTAGTAATTATAATTAGGTAACAAAAAAACTAAGAAATTTTAATTTTTTATATTAAAAGAACCAAATAAGATGTAAGTTTTTAAGGATATTTAATGAGATATATAATGATTAATGACCTATTTATGCAACTATTATGATTCAATTTCATGTTGGATTTTATAGAAAAATTTAACATTAAAAAAACTAAAATAAGTTTTTGTAATAACACAATGAATTAACTTAATTTCTATACAAATTATTTTGTTTCCTAAAAAAATAAATCTTTTTTTATTTGACTTATATCATTGAATATAAAAAAAAAACAAATTAGAACAATACACTATAAGTTATTTACCAACATTATCAATTAAACAAAAACACCTTATATGATTTGCAAAAGCATGAATTGGAAACAATAAACTAAGCACAATTGATGCAAGTAAGTCCAAAGTTGCAAAAGACCTCTCTAATCTATAGCCTTGAACCAAAATTCTCAATCTTGTACTAAAACCATTTTGTGACTCAAAGAGACACACAGCCTTATGTTCCAAAATAAGAGCACCAAGTTACAAAAATAAAAACCAAAAGAGTTGCCAACTAGGAAGACTCCATTGATCTCTGAAGAACTCCAATCAGTTGGCCAACTCCTTGTCTGGTTCACTTAGTGTTCAAAAAAATCTGTGTTGCCTACAATTTTGCCTCGGGTGCTTTCTCTTAGAAGTGGAAGTATGTGGGTACCAATTTGGGATGAAAGATATTATGATTCTTTAGGTTTCGAGATCTCTACCAATGGCTTACTTGAATCGAGTTACAAACACAGACTTCACAATTCTCGGAAGCATATCAAGAATTAGCTGGAGTATAAAATAAATGTGTGTAAAGGTCAATACACATTAGCAAATCTTCTACAGAAAAGGCTTTGCACCGTATGAAGTTTCACCTGGCAGCAAATGAAGGCCTGGGAAGGCTGATGTGAGTAATATTAAGATGAATTACTTTTCAGAGGATTTACTTATCCGGAGTTGAGAGTGATCAGGCGTATCACACTGCATGCTAGGTCTTTGATCTGACTGAAAAAACTTCTTCAGTGTGGCTACGTCTTTTTTACCAAGTGCAATACCATGCTCTTTTGCGATCTGCATAGTTGATAAATGATACCACAACAATGATCTTACAAGTACGAAATTTAGAGTAAACTCGATACCAGACATGATCGCAAGAATTCTGCCTGGCACATGCAAAATCCTTTTGAAAGTCAAGTTACTTGAGATAAATAGGTACCAACACTTTTGAGATCTTTACCTGCAGGGCTTTTGACACCGTGAATGTTTCTTTCTTTAGCGCTTCCATTCTTGCTACAAGCCAAGCTGTGGAATTCAGCGTGGGGCTTTGAAGTTTGACTCCTTGATCAATATCAGTCGACGACTTCTGAAAGCTCATGAACGCACTTGCAGAACTTGGTACATGGTTAACATCGAAACCGTCATCGCTTGGTTTTGACGAATTTGCCCTCGGCAGTCTACTGATATCATGAACAATTGCCCCAAGATTTGATAATGAAGAATAAGAAAGGTCCAAATCCCTCACGACCAGCGGTAGAAATCTTTTATCTTGAACCTGCATAAAAACCAGTGCAACAGCTGTAATTTATGAGCATACAAGTATATTTCTGTGATAATATAGTTTTTCATGACATTGTAACGTGATATGAAGTGGTCGATCTACCAACAAACCTGAAGTTTCTGCGCGGCCATAGCAACGAATTTCGAATTAGCTGTGGGAGAAGACTTTGCCCTTGCCAAAGAAATTCCTCCACTCTTCCTCGAATTAGCGGCACGTCCATGACCATGGTAGATTTTTTCGTTTGTGTTCAGCACAGAAACCCAATGCTGAGAACAGCACTGTCGGTGTCCATTATCCCGCTCTTGACCCGACTTCCGAAACCACGCGCCCTTCGTATCATCACGATACGGCGTTGTCATGGATACTGCTCTGCGTGTTTCCTTTAGGGCATCTTCAGATACGGTCTCCCCCTTCCCACAGTTGAGACCTGTACTGAACCGAGGCTTTCTTTGGAGATCTACAGATTCTAACCTGCAGTTTTATTTCAACGATGAATTAACTTGGCTGCGATTCTGTAGGTTGATAGCTTCTTCTCTCGGTTTGATTCCTTTGCACCCAGCACAGATTTCCTTCTTAATCTGCGGGATCCAAGTGCGCTTGCCCGTAATGAACCTCTGGAGGAGCTCCTCGTTTATGAACCATGGGGAGGCGCTTCTTTGCTCACGATCATGAGTTGGAGCCGACATCGAACTTTGATCATGACATTTCCCTAACACCCTTGGGGATGCGACTGACTTAAACTCAACATGTTTCTACCGTGATCATTTGAAAAACACTACACTCACCCCGACCTAAATTTTGTTCTGCCCCCACATTTTCTACTATTCTGTACACTCTTCTCATCAAAGCGTGAAGGGAAGCGTGGCACCCAACAGTGTACCCAGCACCGGAATGTGGAACATTCTGGTGATGCTTCTCTATCTCCCACTGAATCTGATGATTCGAACTCTCGCAAGATTTCTTGAAGTCGTGCTCATGTGGGGCACTCCAAGAACCTCACTCTTGCTCTCATCAGGGCCCTTAGCTCCTCTCATTCTTTCACTCTCTCTCTCTCTTGTACCCAATTTCTCCTCGAGGCACGAAGTCTCATCTCCTTCACTCGAAACAAAACCCAAAGCATCATAGTGCTTGCCCGGTCGCTGGTCGATGTCACTTTCTGTGGGTGGAGACTAGACTCGCTTGGAGCCAGCAACCGAAAGCATAAGAGAGACCAGAACCTGACGACGACGACGACGTCTTCGTTGTCATCTAATTACATCAAATTAAATGACTATATTAATGATAATGTAGGATAATATAACACACACACACACACACACACACATTCATTCATATATGATTGTGTGTATACATGTGTGTGTATATATATGTTATTTGAGTTTTTGAGTTATTTTGAATTTTTATGTAATGTTTGGTTTCTCAAAAATCAAGTTATCAGATAATTGCTGGGTACATTCCGTGTAACGGATTCTTCATTTATTAGTATGTTAAATTCTGGAATCAAATGGATTTGAGGACCTTTGTGTGTGTAAACTAGTAATAAACTCAACTAAAAACCTTGAATCCTTGTCATCGTTTGTTAGCGTGGGATTTGGTTGAGTGGATACAGCATTGTGTGAATTGTTTGAGAATCCACAAGATCCCAAATATGACATCAAATCCAAGGTTTGTAAACATGGGCAGTTGTGTGTTACATAGGATTGGATTTTGTCAACACGCCTTGAGGGTTACCATCGAAAAAGATTACTTTTAAAAGGCATCAATAGAATCAATTCTCCCATGTTGATAAGTCCTATATTAGAAAACCCAAAGAGAAGATGGACATTTTCGAAAAAATTCTTTGACAATGTTAGTGGCCAACCATGACACTCATTGTATTGAGACAACCATCAAATCACCTTCCATGGTTCCTATTTCTGTAAATTCTTACTTGATTTTTGTGTGCATGTATGTATGTGTAAATATGTAATTTTTAAATTTAATAATTAATAATATATAGATATACAAACAGCAAGTTAAAAACACATGAAACGTTAGAGAAGTTGCAATTTGATAGTTAAAAGTAACTTGAGGTAGTGTCATCAATAATCAAAAATCGTATCACACCAATAGATAAGCCATTCAATATTTTACTTCTGAACTAATACCTCAAGATAAAACAACACGATGTAGTGCACATTACTTGGACGTTGGGTTCATGAAAGAATTTTCTGTTAGGGCATTGAAGTGGTCGTGTCACTCGCGAGATCACATCAATGGAAGCAATATGCACTGTAAAGATGACAACGCATTTTTGTCAATTGAAATTCGCAAATGCACATTCCTAGCACTGCTCAAGTTACCTAGTTGTTGCTATAAATCCAAGACAACCAACACTATCATATACATCACCTACAACACCAATCTAAGGGTTTACAAACTACGCTATAATGTGGCGGCACATCTTCCCATGATTCTTGCACCGTACAATGATAAAATAAAAATCTGATCCGCTATCCACATGCTTTGTGGAAACCTTCTTCTACAGTATCATCATTTCTGAAGTACATCATTCATGAAAGGTGTCATCTTAACTACCTCTACCTTTGTGCCCCACATTTGCTGACCTATGATAGATCCAACAAGTGGATGCACACACGAGACTAAATCTAAAAAGTGCCTGAATATTGTTGGTAGAAATCACCTACCCTGTGAGCAGCAACACCACCCTGAACGTTTTCCTTTGCAAAAACTTATGTGAGCATTAGAACCACAACCTGCAGAGTATTGACAAAACACCCTGAATATTCTTACATAGTCTTGAAATGCACTTCAATTCCTTGTGCAGTTCGAATGCGAGCTTCACTCATACAGCAACTTGTTGACTTTAATTAACTGATCGATGCGCTTTCTACACTCTTTGCCGCTACCCCTCAAATGTTCTAAGACCTGATTTGCCATCTGTTGAAGCAAAAAATGCATCAATAATAAGCTTGTAGCTGTGGAGCACCAAAATACAGAAGTGCAACGGTACGAGTCGTTTTTACACACGAAACAGCTTTCATGAAGGAATTTGCAGCTCTTGAAATAGAAAAATTACTGATGTGAAACCTGGACACAATCATGTAGAACTCACCTTTTCGCAGCCCCCCACTGCCCTCAAGTGAATTAGCGCTACGATACTGTCATTGCTTGGAAAATTCCTTGAAAGTGGCGAATTTAAAACCAAACAATAAAAGAGAACTCCAACATGAAATTTTGCTAGGGCTAGGTCGTCGCTGGAATTTTCATGAATTATCTGGTGTAATTCAGGAAGGATGTCGCAGCTAAGAATCTTTTTGCACGCACGTTTACTTGTAGGATCAGCTCTGACCACTGATGTTTCACTACCCACAAACAAAGCCTTTAAAAACGTGTCAATACGTTATCGATGAAAAGCCAACTTTATCATAAAAAAAATTCTTCACATACTAGAGTTCTTAATTTTTTAACTTTTCTTTTTTAAATTGGAACCTCAAGATTTAGAACATGATCCAGTGCTCACAGCAAGAGGCAAAACTAATATATACAAAATGATGAGCAGGTGACTGATCTCAGCCATTCTAAGCCAATTGATAGGATCAAAATTTCATTCTTTTGCATGTTTAAGGGGAGGACTTGACGGTGTACAATGTTATACAAATAAATAACTAAATAAATAATAAGGGGGATTAAAAGAAAAGAGCATGGTATAAAGATAACTGACCAATATTGACTTTGAAATAATCAGGGCATCAGAAACATTTCCAGTGAAGGAGGTTTTCAACACCCCACATAAACATCCGATTCCATCGCTTTTAAGAAAATCCTTCTTCAGATCTACTGTCTCGATACATGTGTCAAGTGCTTGTACAGAAAGCGCCGTCACAATAGACGAGAATCTCTGGTGATTCTGTACAATGGATAACAATATATCCACAGCCCCGCTCTTACAGAGCTGATCCTGCCTTATAGGCCCTAAACGCAAGAGCAATAAATTAGTAAACGCACCAAGAAGAACAAAACCGCCTTCCTAAATCCTAGGAGTCTGATACTTCAAAAAGATGATTCCAAGTGCAATGCTCAAACTAAACTACCTCAAGTTTTACTTAAAGGGTTTGGAGGTTTGGGTATTACCATGACAGCTCAAATTTCTTATGAGAATGAGCAAATTCTTCATACTTTCAAATTCTGACCAATCATCACCGCGAGATTCTAGCTCCGTTTTTACCAAACCACAAAGCTGCTCGGCAATTCTTGTGGAAGCAAAAGCATAACCCATCCTTATCGAATAGTCGGAACTTTTACCGTCTTCAAAAACGCTGCTCATTTTCACCAGAATTTTTATCACCAGATCCTGCACGTTTGGCGATCAACATGCATTAAAAACTTTGCTCATTACTATGAATATCCTTGAAGTATCGACTCTTTGTATCTCGCATGCATCCACTTCTTCGGTCGACCTTGAACCAATTAGTGTTTTACTAAGGACTCCTAGTGCAATATGGAATTTGCCACCATTATTGCTCTTCTTTATTGTGCTTTCTACAACATATTAGTCAATTACCCTTTCAATGACTAGTTTAGGTGTGACGAACTGAACACGCTTCTCAAATCAACACTAAGAGTTGGACACTCCATATGAGATCCTATGATTGATAATGCAAAAAAGACAGGACCTACACACGTGAGCTGCGCTGAAATGCAGCTCATGTTTGCACACAAAGCAAGTGATTCACTAAAGAAACGTTTCAACCAGCAGACAGCATGGTACTGTAATAAGACAAACACTCCAGGCAGCCAAACATTGCAACAGAGAAATAAGCACATCCTAAATGGATTGATGGACGATGGGCTTTACGCGACAGGTAAATAATCCTCTTGTTATATTTTGAACCATCCCTCCCAAAGAACCTCTAAAGAAGCGTCTAGTATGCAGAGACAACTTCTCACCCGTATTGCACTGGCTTGTGTAAGATACTTGTGGAAACACTTGAAGACATTTTTTTTAAGTATCATTTCCTTCACTTCATCCTCGGTTGCAAGAACTTCAAGGGTTTCAAGAACCACGCCGACTTGGGATTGGTCATCCTGTCCAAGGTATTGGAGCAAATGACAACATACGAGTATCATTTCGTTACGTTTAATTGACGTACGTTCATCATTCCTGAGCCGGACATACACTTCTGCAATGGTAGTCGCAGTCGATCCTTTCCCATCAGGTTCGGGACAATGTTCCAGGAGAATCAACAATTTCGAGACGATATTCGGGCATTGACAAATCCACTCTAATCCCCCCGAAGAGCAAATCTGTTTCAAAATACGAGCAATTCCGGAGGGAGCAAATTTCGAATTGATGCTCTCCACTGCTTTTTCCACAAAACCAGAGGTCAATACATCCTTTCGAGAATTTTCATTGGTAACAAGATGCTCAAAACCTTTTACTGCTGTCAACTTCAATTTTTCATTGCGTAGTGCATCCAAAAGAAAGTTATGAGCACCAATCTTCGTTAAACTTTCCTGCAATCATCAAAAGCAACAATTATAACGTTTTCATTTGCAGATTGTTATAGAATGGACATCGTTCTCCAAGGAAAACCTGAAGAATGGATGTACTTTCGAAATATGATTTTAAGAACTGCAGTTGTGATTTCTAATATTATTGAAGCAAATTCTACATTTCAGGAAAAAAAACAAAAAAACAAAAAAACAAAAAGAAGAAGAAGAAGAAGAAGGAAGGAGTTCTGTTCAATGATGTCATGAGCGACTATGAATTGATTGAATTTCAATAATACCATGTGTATATATAATAACTTAAGGTCTTCGGACCCTCAAAATAATCAAAGAAAAGGCTCCTTCCTCTGATATCACAATGCTTGCAAATTACTGTTCTCACTTTATGTAATATAGAAATTAACGTGACTTTCACAAAGGCAAAGTGTACCTTATTAGCTGTCCCACTTTCGAGGATAAGAACCAAGGCATTAGTCAGCAACTCTTTCAAATCTTCCGTACCTCGCTGCTGAACCCATCCGATGAGGATCTTCAAATCAGCCACTTCAATACGAAGGCGGACAAATTCCTCATATTCGTCTGCTGCCATCTTGAGGATTGCAAAAGCAGCCTTTGCTACATCCTCTTGACTACCAGGTTTTTCCATGTTTTGTCTTAACCAACTCAGTGAAGCCTCCATCGCTCCCTCTGTCTGCACAAACGTGTCCGCCCTAACTACACCCTCTTTTACTGCCAAGAAGAGGAGACCAATGGCTGCATTTCTGGTTTCTTTTCTCCAACTTTGATCAAGAAACTTGAAGCAAATTTCAGGCAGCAGCATCTTATTCGGGATTGCAACACCTGGAGGTAACGCTTGCAAGGCAATCAGGGCATCCTGTTGACAATTCTCGTTTGTATCCTTCAACAACCCCTACAGTAATAGACTAAAACCAATTAGATCACCATTGCGATGAACAAGTAGGAACCAAACGAACAAGTTGACTCTAAGGGAGAGGGATTAAACATTGTTAACCATCGAATAATACAGTAATAACGTTTGGAAGGAAGAAGTCAATGTTTGATGCCCACTTAATTGCTCCTAGGTCACTACCAAAACACTTTCTGAGCAAACACATACCTGAATAGCTAAGGTTGGAAATGGAAATAAAAGTGGTACGAAAATGTTGAGCAATTGTTAATCATAAAAAGCAATCAGGAATTTTAAAAGAAAAGAAGAAAAAAAGAAAATCCAAAAACATGGCTGTGACTTGAAATGAGTGAACAAAATGTATTTCTTCAGTTTGAGCAAGTAATGCGAAGATGAACGAACCAAAAGCGCTTCAACAACTCCTTTCAATTGGATCTCAGTTAAGCCCTTTCGCGTAACTACGATCTTTCGTAACCCCGCCGCAACCTTCTCTTTATTCACTGGGGAGGTTGCCATCTTGCCCAATAATGTGATACCTTCAGCCAGTATATCTTGACTACTTGGAATATCAATTTGGCCGAAAAGTAGTAAGATCTCAACCCTGGATTCCACCGAAATTTTCAAATTTTGGTCGACTGCCATATTCCTGAGCTTTCCTTTCACTCTGACGTTTTGAGTAAACACGGTTTCAACCAATTTTTTCTGATGAGTTGCAAAGATACACAGCAACTCTACAAAAAGATTAAGGAGCTTTTCCAGATCCCTCACTGTCACAATTTCCTTCGCCTTAAGTTTCGACATCTCAGATACTGTCCTCTCCATCATTCTCATGATGCCCAAGAGTAAACTTTCTGTGATGTCCTCTTTGTACAACGTACAATGTTTCGTCATGATCCTTATAAATGCCGTCCTTCCAAGTATACTGGAAATGGACTCAAATTTATTAGTCGTCATCAGGTCCAACATTTTCTTTCGAACTATGGGGTACACCGAATCAATAGGTATGACCTGGTCAATCACCAGGACCTTCAACTTTTCAAGCGAATCATTCACCAAGTTTTCTAAGTCCGACCTCTCGAGCCCTTCAAGACAACGAATTGATGGTCAGCACTTCGAAACGAATTGAACATGACTTGCATCTCATGCCAGAACAGCACGTGAGATTCTTGCACTGGTAGCATAGAACAAAAATTAGCCTTTCAACAAAATACTATGCTAAGTACCCAACAATTCCACCAGTATCCACTTCTTATTGGTCCAACGAACCAGGCACTCAACTAAAGTTCCATTACCTTGCTGTAGCATGTGCGAGCAAGATTCTTCTGTGCAGAGAATCAAAGCGACATAGAGGATTATGAGTTTGGAAATGCTTACCTTCTTGCAACAACGTCACCAAAGATATTGCAATGTTTTCAATTTTGGAGTATTCGTGGCTCGTTGAATCTACTTTTGTTAGGCGTGCTAACCCTTGGAGACGCACACTGTCTGCTCGATCCGACAACTCAACTAGTGCCTTAACAATATGATACCTGGTCCGTACTGTGTGCCATATCTGAAACATTTTTCATAACAATTGTAAATTTTGACATCCAAAAATGCCTTCCCTAAATGACTTGCGCAACACGTCAGGGACAAAACTTAGTACTCACACGTGCATACTAACGTGTCAGTAAAGAATCAATTGAAGAAGCAGGCAGGTATTTATAAGTGCAGAATTTGTAAATCACCATAGCATCATAACACTAGAGGGTCTACAATACCTCGTTGTTTGTCAACATATTAACAACAGTCTCCGCAGCATGAAGAGCTGCGGGATCCTTTTTCTGTTCCATTATCTTCATGAGGACGTCCAAATGATCAGCGACTGCTTCAAAGATCTCTGTTTTATCTCTTTCAGGTACGTCCGCATCACCATTCGTAAAGCTTGTAACCGCCTTCAACAACTCCAACTGCACGAGAATAAACCCGAGTATCGTACAATGCCATTGCCCAACAAAAATCAACAGAATGCGTTTCAAATACTAGTTAAACCGGAATGAATAAATAAATAAATAAAATGCCAGTGGTACTTACCGCTCGATTAGTGCACTCCATCGTCCCTGTTAACTCTACAGCTTTAGGTATAGCTCCTGCTTTGAACACTTCATACTTACCACCCGGAACGTTTGTGATCCCGACGAGATCACGTAATCCTCTCAATACTTTAGGGGCCTGTAGCGAAAGGAGTTTAACCCTATCTTTTACTGCTACACTCAAAGGTTGATCAATCAATTCATCCGAGATACTACTTGATTCTCCAACACTTGATTCTACTTCGTCAGATGGCCCCGCATCTACAGGACTACACAACGAAGAGTTCATCAAAATTTTGTTTTGCAAATTTCGATCAAACATGTATTTAATTGTATTTGTAGTTCGCGCAAACAAAACACGGCAACGTCCCACTCCACATGCTTAGTCTGAAACCTAGTAACAATCTCCATTGACATTTTTGTTTGAGTTCGTCCATACATTTTATGAGGGTGAAAGGATAAGCGGGGTACCTGGGTGCCATCCCATTGAAATCAACACGCACTACGACGTGTTCGGTGTCCGTATTCTGTGTAACAGGATAAGATGTACTCCCACCTGTAAATCGATGCATGATGCAAGCCTTACACAATAACTCCCCACTATCAGTTACCTCGAGTTTTGCCATGGGATGAGATTTGCAAATCCCACAATCCAAATGTTTCAAATATTTGACCAGGACAAAAATCTTCTCTTCAAGCTTTGTGAGTTTCAGGACAAGCTGCTCCAGTAGCTCGGTATCCAGTCCTTGCTCATGAACGATGTCTTCATTTTCCTGTATTTCCAGAAAAAAGAAACATTTTTGGTCCAATGTAGTTGCTAAAAAAACCAATAAACATCCCCCAAAAGTATCCAATACCCTCGCTGGAGACTTTTAGCTATGACCTGATCAGCTAAATGGGAATGAAGAGGTATGAAACTGTTCTTCTCTGCAAATTATGATTGCTTTGACATTCAAAACTGTCTAATGATACCCGCGGACATGTTAGTGCTAGAGCATCCATTCAAGAATTAAATACACACCTCCAATGCTTGCTCACTGACGTCGCTCTCGGGGAGAGGAATTTTGGCAACCCAAGTGCCAGCAGAAACTCTTGGTTCTGAATCTAACGAGTCTGACAGCGGATGATAATGACGAAGAAAATACAACAACTGTTTTTCAGGCCACATTTTGTCGTAAGTACACCTAACTAACTTGGTCCTCTACAAATCGAAACAATTCATTGTCACAAAAATCAACAAGTTCTTTTAAAATATTAACCTCCACTGCACATACGTGTATACCCCATTCACTACAGTCACATTATGCCAGCTCCTTCCGCAGGTTTCATAACAACTAGTGCAAGTTCTACATGCAAACGTGAGTATAATAATGTAACAGAAGCAGTGTAAAGACATCTTGTATCGTAAAAAACTCCTGGACACTTGTAAACTTTTGATTCCTCCAGGACAACAAACTGTATTGTAAACAGGAAGTTAAAAAAAGGCTGTAGTGAAACCGCATTAAAACCGACTCTCGATAAGTATAAACATTCTGAGTGCTTTTACATTAATCTAGGAAAGTCTTACACTCAATGGCCAAACAGCAAATGTAGAAACATACCCGCTCTTTGATATGTACTGACCGCACAATCATTCTTATTCGTTTGTTTCTGCAAAAATGGCATGAGAACATCATTTATCAACATTGTTCAATCCACTTTGTAAAGCCATTAATTTGAGCTCAAAATCCAAAACCCACAGTTAGGTACCAGTCACAGTCTTGGATGTACGTAAATAGACCAAGGGAAATACAGCTAATTAGGTTAAATGAAGCACTACTATATCCGTGCATAGACCCGTACAGACTAAGCACAATTCGTTCGCTTAGACGAGGATACGAAACTGAGGAAGGAAGTATACAAGCTTGAGAGTGAGAAAAGACAAACGAATCACCAGTTAACATCGTTGACATTGTCCTACAGGGCAAGAGTGAGCAGAATCTTGAAGAGTAGCATCTAAAATAACAAATGATAAGGTGGTTGATGGCAAAACGTGACTCAGTTGAACAATACTTGCAAACAGAACAAACTACCAAAAGATAGACGCTTATCATGAAGGCCATTTCCTCCAAACCATGTAATCGAATCTACAAAGCTACAGTTACAACATTACGTGTCTTATTTCTAAGTTTGAGGCTTTTGGGAGAATCAACTTCTAACATTTCGTCCCCCCTTCTACATCTGTCACCATTATTATGAAAGCTCAAACATCCGCTACACTGCCTCGGGTAAAGACTCTAACAGCCACACTTCACCGATGTAATTCAAGCTCGCAAGCACGGATTTGCCACACGAAGTTTTGAAGTGCATAGGATTGTCCATTCCTAAAATTCTCGTAGACATCGAGCAATCTACAATTCAATTTAAAGATTCGAAAACCCCCGATCATCTACATCTCCGCAAACCACAAAACCTAACGAAAAAACTACTAGCAGAAGACCCATTGCATCTATATCACTTACAGGATATTCTTCGACGGCACACGATTCAACTTCTCCGCCATGTCTGCGCAGCCCCAAAACCAGACTTCTCAGGCCTGTGCAGCGCCCCTCGTAGGTGGCTGTGCACTTCTCCCAAGCCCCGACGACGCAACCGCAACCACTAACAACGAAATCCTCCACTTTGCTGGAAGTTTTTCGCAGAAGGGGAAGAACTTCAGAGATCACATCCAGTGAAACAGTCAATCTTCGCACCTCATCGCCATCGCAGTCCCTACCGACACGACCCGCTACACTACAACAAAATGGCCGAGCTAATTCCACCGCACGGTCGTGTCAGGAGAATCTAATGCATTTTCAATTTTACGGTAGTATCGCTGCTTTAACCCTCCCCAAAACTGTTCCAGTTTAAGCTTGGCAAGGCACAAGTACTTAAACCCTGAACTGTAGTTCGTTGGTTTAATACTTGATTAGTTCCACAACGATAATAGTGATGTCGTTGGATGGTGCAAGAGGGGCCACATCAGACTACTCGAACGACGCCAAAAGCCGCACGGATTCGAGGAGAGCAACTTTCAATCCATCGGGATGTTTTCAGAGCTGCTTTCCAGTCCACAGTGCTCCACGAAGTATTGCCTCTGCACTTCGACACATTTGAAATAGTCATTCGAAATTTGTCGGTAGACGACACCAGGCGTTGAAGAAGTAGCCACTAGGGTTTCAGTGAATACGATATGATCCACGTTAGCGTTTAGCCAGTGCCAACTAGTAATCAAACTCTGAGTAGGGAGACATGAAACTTTCATTCTCCTCGATCCCAAACAACATCGTAAAGGTAGGAAGATCAGCATGATATTCTTCTGAAAGTGCCGACGAAGCATTCCGCCACACATATCCTTCACTGTAGAAATTGTTCAATTGTTAATGTAAGCTCCAGTCACCACTTGCAGCGCAACAAATCGTCCTATCACACACACGCAAGCGCTCTGATCGTCCCAGGGTTATTACAAGAGGATTAACACATGGCCTATGGATAACTGCCGACTCGTGGTTACTTAACCATTTCCTAGTATGAGGCTAAGTGACTGACTACAGAGTCAAAAGCAGATTACTCTCCGTCTCAACGACGCATGTAAAAACAACGTCTAATCAACAGTGAAATACAATTTTCTTACTGCCCTGGGGGCTGGGGATGGACCACTTGGGAGGACATGCATTGACTTGACTTTATGGATTGTTTTTTTGCCAGCAATAGAAGCGTCCAGATTGTTCCAGATGCGAAGAAGATGCTCAAAGCCCTAATGTACATCAACGGCACACCACCAACTCACTCCTATTATCATAATACGAATAATGGAACTGGCTCTCTCTGTCCCCGAAAGCATACAACAAAGTAGCTGGCCCCGCGATGGTTACGCGCTTTCTCTCTTCACAGAGTGGATGAACGGACGCAGGGGATGGAACTGTCTATACGGATGAACAGACTCTGGGGATGGAACTGTCTATACGGATGAACAGACGCGGGGGATGGAGCTGTATCTGAGGATGAACATGAGTGATAAATTAGTATTATTATTATAATAAGTGATAAAATATTATTATTTTTAAATCATTGGCATCACCCTTCTAAAATAAGCATGTATGCACAACCACCACTCTTCTAGAATTTATTCTAATCGGAATTGATCGGAAACAACACCAAATTAATGAGAATTTTTTGCTATCATGAAAACCTTGTTCTATTTTTATATTTGTCGAAAAAGTATATATATGTATATATATATATATATATATATATATATATATATATATTAATAATTATTATCATTGAGTTATTTTGTATTCTTATGATTGCCTCTAAATCCGCAGGATGGGTAGCTTTGGCTCTTTGGTTTACAAGATAAATCTGTGTTTATATATTTTTTTTCTTTTTAAAATTTCATGATATCAATTACATGGCATCCTAAAAGTGTGGATTGATGACATTTCTCTCTTTCTATGTGAAAAAAGAAAGAAAGAAAAGAGAAAGATTGGTGATTGTGTGTCAAAATATATGTTGATAAAGTGTGTCATGTTTTTGCTCCTATTTTACACTGTTGTATGTATGTATGTATGTATGTATGTATGCGAACTCTAGTTGGTATTTACGAAGGTGTAAATGTGTGAAATTTCAAAATAAATTCGTTGAGTTTCCACTTCTAATTATAGGTGTTTATGTATCTGGTACCTCCTATAATTAATTCTCTATGCATTATTTATAATGATTGTATGATCATGAGTTATATGGTAAAATCGCTTGCAGTATATGCTCCTAATTGTCTTGTGATATATTTTGATTGTATACAAATATTTTCTTATTGATGTTTTAATAATTCTTTCACTATTCAATTAAACTACTCTGAGATAGAGTATAATTTATCATTTAAGGTTTGATGTAAGTCTTTACTTTCTTAAATGAATATTAATTTGATTCTGTATATATATTTAAAGTTGAAATTTTCCATTTAATTATTATTAGCAATTTGTAATTGAGAAGTATTATTTGATTGCTACATTTATTTGATAAAAATCGAATTGAATTTCAAATGTTCATAGTCATGTATTGCATTGTATGCCAAAAAAATCTATTTCATATCTCACATATACTTATATAGAAACTGTGTATTTTAATAAAAGAAACAAATATTTTATATTTCATTTCTTTCAAATTCAGAAATTGTATGAATTATTAGAAGCATATTGTAGTCTCATTTCAAAAAACAAATTTCCTTTCAAGTGCACTTTCTTCTTTCATGCTTTCTATAACATTTTTATTATGCAAAAAATTTACTGCATTACTGAAATCCTTCGTTTTCTTTTTTATATTTGTATGCATCCAAGTTTTAAAATAAGATTGTGTGCCTAGGTTATTGCAATTTCTGTGTGACTTGTATAAAATAAAATTAAAAAAAGAATAGGAGTAACACTTAATTGTTCCATTACTTCAGTGTGGTTACAGATAAATATAATTCATTTTAAAAAGTATATTCTCAAACCATATATATATATATATATATATATATGTAAAAGCATTACTATTTATATAAAAATTAATTATAGAATAAAATCTCTCATACAATATTTTGATAAATAAATTATTTGGATGGTAGTATATATGTTTAAAATATGTTATAACCCTACATATTTTATTTTACTTTGATAATTTATACTATAAATTTATGAAACGATTAAATAATAATAATAATATTATTATTATTATTATTATTATTAATTTATAAAATATAAATATAATAAACTAGTTGGATATTAATATTTAAATTTTTTATTATTAATTAATAAGCCATGGTTCTCAAAAAGCATTATACTACTTGAAGTCTTAGTAATTTTTACATAAATAATATTTACAAGTAAAATAAATTGAAAATAAGCTGGAAAATTCACAAAAATATTACCTTTAAAAAATTATAACATCCATCAAAATATTTAAGAATATTTGCAAATTTTTAGTAGTTAATGAAATCATGAGTTTAGATTTCTAAAAATTACATATATATATATATATATATATATATATATATAAGTTTAGAAATTGAATCTTTATTTTTTCATTTGATTAAAACCTAGTTGATAGCTATTTTTTGATATCGCCAAATATAATTAATCAAAAATATCATAATAAAATCACTGTTCTATTATTTTAATACCTATTTGAATTCTTTTATAAAGAAAAATTGACTGTATACTTATCTTTTTTATGAGTATTTAACAGATATAATTGATAGAAGAAAGATTTAATTTATTTTTTCATAAAAACTATCATTGCAAAATTGTCCTAATTCGATGATTCCTTGTTGTATACAAAATTAATTTGGTTTAAAGATATAAGATATTATAATTAATAAATACTAAATCAAGAATTTATTTCATATTTTAAAATTAATATAAATGTAAAAAAGTTTTTTAAAGAAATTATTTACATCTATTGATTACGTTTATATCAAGGACCATAATTCATTACCAAAAAACAAGTGACTTAGTTTTTTTTTATTATAATAAAATATGAAAATAATTTTATTATATATATATATATATATATATATATATATATATTAAACCATTGATTTATAATTGGTAAAGGTGTAAAATTAACCTAATATTTTATTATAACGACAAAGGTTAAATTGTTGATTGACGGATTAGTTTTCTAAAGATTGTACAAAACATGAATATTGAATATGTTGGACCATATTTATAAAAAAAAAATCTAATAAATTGATTTGGATTTAATTTTTTATCTAATAAATAACTGAGAAGGTATTGCAATTCGTATTATGATCAAAGTACTTGGCACATAGTTTTTCTTCAAAACAATACAAGGTAACAATACTTAAAACCTTAAAATTTTCAAAAAATATTAAATTTAAAAATTGTTTTTAATGCCACTAAAAAAAACAAAAGGAACTAAATCTTTTCTCTCTCTCTCTCTATCTTTTTGTTTTTTTGTTTTTTTTTTTTTTTTTTGATTAAAAGAAAGAAGTAGGAATATTGTAGAATTTAAAGTGTATACTAGCTAACTGTTTTATTAGCTTCTATATAGATAAAATGTTTAATCACTTCATTTAAGTTATGTTTGACTGACATGTTGAATTGATTTAAGTACTGAATTTTCTTAGAATTTATATAAAACCAAATATCAAATAATAGATTTTTATGTTAAAATTTCATACTCATTTAAAAAATATTTAAATACATATATAAAATTGTTTAGTTTACCAATTTACATAGAATAGATGTGTATCAAAATAATTCTATCATATATAATTGAGTGTATTAAGAAATTTATAGTTTTGTATTTTTACACTAAGTTCAACAAATAATTTTGAAGATACATGAATTCTATAACTTATAACTCATATATACTATTATTAGCATGGAAATTTGTATTCCTTAAAATATAATATTAGACTAAATATTTTAAAAATTTATATAATATAAATTTTTATGTTTGATTGTTTTACATATATAGTTTAAAATTTATGAAGTGATTATAGTATCTTTATCATATGTATCTTAAATCTTAATATATAATATCATAGTAATATACTTTTTTTGGTATGCCATTTAATAGTTATTCCACAATTTTATTCTGGAACTTTTTTAGCCATCTTTGACCTATTTTATTTCTAAAAAAATCAACTGAAATTTTTATTTGTTTATTTAAGGCTTTTCTTATGTCTTTTTATATAATATATAAGTATTTTTTTAATACAAATAAATATAAAATATTTTTCGTGATTATAAATTTAAATATATTTTAGAATAATAAGGATATTCTATTAGTCTAAGTCACTTTAAATCAAAAACATATTTCTCAAAAATCTGTGTTGTCTTAGCCATTTAATTTTGTTTGAAAATATGCTATGATTTTTGGTATTATCAAAATGAATTTTAAGAACCTTAACAACATAAATTTAACACTATTTTTTAAAAATAAATAGATAGGTCAGTTCTATATATACTTTGTCTATAAAAATTCAAAATAACATAAGTAAAAGTTTTTTAGTTGTAAAAATATAAACATCATCGTGGACTAAAATACCATAGATTTTTTCTCCTCTTGAAACATGAATTGAAATACTAAGTGCCAAATTACTAAACTGGGTATTTTCTTTATTTTTATTTAAAGTATGAAGTACTTACATTTCTAGGTTTTTAAAAAAGTAAGAAAAATCTTTTACTTTTTTTTAAAGTTCTTGAAAAAAATATTTTATAATATTTCATTATAGGTGATGGTTTTTTATCTTTTAATTATATTTGAACCACCTTTATTTTGTAAGAAGTTATTCTTGTTATGTATATTTTTTTAATTTCATGTTTTTGGATACAAATTGGTCAGAACCAATAAAGATTTATTTATTTATTGCTTACATGAGGTCAAATTCATACAATACTCCTCTAATATTAAGAGATCTCATAAATATATTAATATTTTTTTTGAATTTACGTTTCCAAATATAGGATTTTTTTTGTGAATCTAAGTTTCCAAAAATAAATTAATATGTATATCAATTATATCTAATTTAAGAACCTATCACAACTATCTATTCTAATGTTGA